TTCAAAATGGATCAAAGACCTGAATATAAAGCCTACAACTATAAAGTTCATAGAAGAAAAAATAGGACCAATGCTACAGGCCCTAATACACAGCATTAACAGGATACAAACCATAACCATCAACACACAAACCACAGAAGATAACCTAGATAACTGGGATCTTCTAAAAATCAAACACCTATGCTCTTCAAAAGAGTTCACTAAAAGAGTAAAAAGAGAACCTACAGACTGGGAAAACATTTTTGGACGTTACAAATCAGACAAAGGTCTAATCTCCATAGTCTACAAGAAAATCCAACACCTCTACAACAAAAAGACAATCCTATTAAAACATGGACAAAGGTAATGAACAGAAACTTCATCAAAGAAGACATTCAGGCAGCCAACAGACACATGAGGATATGCTGGCAATCACTAGCCATTAGAGAAATGCAAATTAAAACCACTATGAGATACCGTCTCACCCCGGCATTACTGGCATGAATCAAAAACACTGGAAATAAACGTTGGAGGGACTGTGAGGAGATTAGAACTCTTATGCACTGCTGGTGGGAATGCGAAATGATACAACCATTTTGGAAAATGATATGGTGCTTCCTTAGAAAGCTAGAAATAGAAATACCATATGATCCAGCAATCCCACTCCTAGGAATATGTCCTAGAAAAATAAGAGCCGTCACTCGAATAGACATATACACGCCTGTGTTCATGGCAACATTGTTCACATTTGCAAAAAGATGGAAACAACCTAGATGCCCATCAACAGGTGAATGGATAAACTATGGCACATACACACAGTGGAGGACTATGCAATGGTAGAGAACAGTGATGAATCTGTGAAGCATCTCATAACATGGATGAAACTGGAGGAGATTATGTTGAGTGAAATAATCACAAAAGGACAAATATCGTATGAGACCTCTGTTGTAAAAACTCATGAAAAAGTTTACACACAAAAGTAACAATCTTTGTTGGTTATAAGGGATGGGAGGGGTGGGGGGAAGTACTAAATAGGCAATAGATAGGTGGTATCTTTGGTGAAGGGTGAGACAGTACACAATACTGGGGAAACCAGCACAGCTTGTATAAGGAAAGGTCATGGAAGCTCCATAGACACATCCAAACTCCCTGAGGGACTGAATTGCTGGGTGGAGGGCTGTGGGGACCATGGTCTCGGGAACATCTAGCTCAGTTGGTATAACACAGTTTATAAAGACAATGTTCTACATTCTACCTTAGCGAGTAGTGTCTGGGGTCTTAAAAGCCTATGAGTAGCCACCTGAGATACTCCACTAGTCTCACCCCTTTGGGAGCAAGGGAGAATGACGAGAACAGGATACAAGGAAAAGATTAGTCCAAAGGATGAATGCACCACAGCTACCAAGGCTTCCACCGGACTGAGTCCGGTACAGCTAGATGGTGCCCGGCTACCACCACTGACTGCTCTGACCGGGATCACAACAGAGGGTTCTGGACAGCTGGAGAAGGATGGAGAACAAAATTCTAACGCACACAAAAAAGGCCAGATTTACTGGCCTGAAAGAGACTGGAAAAACCCTGAGAGTATGGCCCCCAGATACCCTTTTAGCTCAGTGGTAAAGTCACGTCCGAGGTTCACTGCTCAGCCAGGGATTGGACAGCCCCATAAAATGGGACTAATGAGGCACAGTAGTCCAGGGACAAGGACTAGAAGGCAGAAGGGGACAGGAAAGCTGGTGATAGGGAGCCCAAGGTTGAGTAAGGACAGTGTTGATATGTCATGGGGTTGTTAACCATTGTCATAGGGCAACATGTGTACTAACTGTTTAATGAGAAACTTTTTGTTCTGTAAACCTTCATCTAAAGTGAGAATAGCAGCACAGCTGAAAGAACGTAATCGATGTCACTGAACTGTGCATGGAGAAATTTTTGAAATGGTGTATTTTTGGCTATGTGTATTTTCACCCTGAAAAAAAAAGGTCGAGAACGGAGAGGGTTGACATGTCTTGGGGTTGTTAACCAATGTCATAAAACAATATGTGTACTGACTGTTTAATGAGAAACTATTTGTTCTGTAAACCTTCACCTAAAGTACAATAAAAGGAAAGAAAACATATATATAAAAAGTAAAATATTCATTGTCCTTGTGCATTTTCTGTGGTGACTGGTATGCTGTGGTGCAGAGTTTGGGGAATGTGGCACTATAGAAGCATGGTCAAGAACCTTATTTAAAAAATGTTATGATCTGGAAATTCTTCTAGGAATCTCTCCTAAGAAAATAGATAGAAACAAAGACTTATGGACAAAATTCTTCTGCTCGATAACAACCATCAAATCTTGATATACTTAAAGTAATTAGGTGTTCCAGTTTTGGGTTGTAAGTTCATCTCAGACTTAAGTACCTGTCAGGCAGGTCTAAATACAGACTCCTTTCCTGGAGGGGTTGCAGACCATCATTTCTGGAACTGCACAGTGAAAGGAGCCCTAGTTTTGAAATTCTAGTATACGATTTGAATACTTAACATTTGATTCTGACTCAGTGGGTTCTCCCTTACTATTTCTGGGATGCAAAGATTAAGGTAGGTAGTTTTTTGCTTCTCTTCCCATTTGATCAGGATGTGCTTTGAAGTTGCTACTAGTTGGCAAGCAGGAGGCAGTGTTGAGAAAAGAACACCTGAGTTGAAGTCCTGACCCTACTTCTTGATGGCCGTGTGGCCTTGAGCAGGTTATCTAAAACTCTCCGAAGTTCAGTCTTCTCATCTGTCAACTGGGGATAAAGATTGCTGGTATACACACTTCAAGTGGATGGCTATGGTTCTCAAATGGAATAATATTTATGGAGCTAATTTATAAATATGTTTAATCTTCTAAAAAGTTCTGAATTAAATATTTTTACTCAGTTATGAATACATGAATATTATTATTTTTCCATCTAGCAAAAAATCAAGGGAATTATTTTTCATTTCATGTTCCATATGTTCTCAATAGGCTATAAAAACTGATTTATTACTTTTATTTTCTTGGTAAGGAATTTGACACTGAGAGAATGTAAGCAAATTGCACAAGTTTCAGTATCACGTCAGATATAGGTGGTATGGGAGCTCTTAGTCTTAATACACCAGGTTTTTAGTTGGTAATGATGAGCTTATTGCACTCTTACCACATGTCAAACACTAAACTAAGCACTTTAAACATTATTTCATTTAACTCACACAACAAAACCATGTTAATTAGGTGCCGTTTCATTCCCTTTTATAGCTGAGGAGACTGGAATTAGAGATGTTAAGTAATTTGCCCAAGTTCACATTGTTAGTACGTGGTAGAGCCTGGCTTTTAACCCAGGCATTCTGATGCTGCTGCCCATGAACTTTCATCACTATGTTACACTGTCTTATTTTGTCATTCAGTGGCTTCCTTTTTCATGGAGATGTACTAAATGTGTTTAATTAGTCTTTTAAAAATTATGAATTGAATACTTTCATTCATTTATGAATACAGTGAAGCCTGTTATTCATATGGTATCTCACAATCATTTGTGAGAACATATAATCAAGCCAGAAGCATAGATTGGAACAGAACCCCCAGATCTGTCAGTTCAAATAAATTATCCTGTGGTTTTCTGAAACACACAGTCTTTTTTTCTTTTCTTAAATATCTAAAAATATGGATGCTATCAATAATCATTAAACTATCATTGCTAGCTAAAATTGCCTTTATTGTCTGGAGTTTTCACTCAGTTGTATTCTGACTCATGGACTTTTAAAAAAAGAAATATAATGTGACATGATAAAAGTTGGCAATCTTTTTCCATCCCTCTCTTTCAGGCATTCTTTAATGGCCGACTGAAGGCAACAGGGAACATCTTGCTGAGCCAGAAACTTCAGATGATTCTTAAAGACTACGCCAAGCTGTGAAGGGCACACTGGATTAATAAAAATAGAAGAATTAAACTCTCTTCACCAAAATATACTTGATTATTCAGCAAAAGCGATCAAAACTAAGATACAGGGGAAGTTGCTTAACATTTTCAGATTTCAGATAACTTTTCAGATTTTCATTTTCTACTAATTTTTCATGTATCATTTTTACAAGGAATTGTAAGCTAGCACGTAATTATGCTTCTGTTCTTAAAACTATATCTTCATAATAAAAAATTTTTATCCAAGTTCAGTATCCTTAGAATTTATGATAACATTTGTAAGTTGAAAGGAGAATTAAATGAGTAAAATCCATTTTGATACCTTTTGCACTCACTTTGTTTCTTTGTTACAATTTTCTGTTCTCTAATTTATTCATACTCCAGTTTTAACATGAGTTTTCACATATGTAATCATTTTTCACACTTTGCTGTAATAATGTTCTGCTGTAAGTCTATAGAAAGGTCTTTGTGCTCCCAAATATTCTACTCTCTTCTCCCCTCCCCTTTGCTGAAAATTCTTTACTTTCATAAAGTGTTTGTAAATATGCCAAGTATCTAGCCTTCTTGCTTAATCAGCAGTCTTAAATCATAAAGGTGGTCTTTAGCAAATACTATTATATCACTGTTTTTCCCAATGTCTACCTCAGATGAAGTGTGCTGAGGAAATGGTCTTTTGATGGGATTGGCTGCAGAAGTGACCAGCAACAAGTGTGATGCTAAAGTCAGGAATGGAGGAGTAAGTTTGATCATGTAGCACAGATGAGGAGGATATGTGTGCATGGATAGTAGAGACTGAGTTCTTTGGGAAGCAGACTTTGAGGTGGAGATTCATGTAAAGGAAGTTTATTTGGGAGTACTCTTGGGAGCCATACCTGTGAGAGGAAGTGAAGGAATCAAGGCTGGATAGAGGAGGAAGCTGGACTGTGGTGCAGTTACCACAAGGTTTCAGCTTATCCTTTGGGAAGCTCTGAAGCTGGGATGCCCTTCAGATTTGTATCAACTAGTCGTTGGATATAGACTGCCCTCCAAAGGGGCCATGACTGGGTGAAGCAGCAGAGGCAGTTCCTGAGTGGGCTTATAGCTTAGTCAGTTGATAACCTTCCCAGCAGCTGGAGAATGTGTCCTTCAGTCCTGAATGGAGCTTCTGTACAGCTCAGCACAGCATCCATACTTTGTTTTAGGCAGCATAGTAGAGGACCTTAATAAATTATTGTTGATTTAATGAATGAACAGTATAAAAGAGACAACATAGAAGAAAATCACAAAGTTGGCAATTACACCTTGGGCTCATGAACTTTGTAAGGTAGTATAAAATTAAAATTTTTAACTCTGATCCATGGTTATTGCCAATTAATTTTAAAAAATCAATGGCAATCTTTTAACACTGGTCTTATACTGAATAGCTACTGTTCCTGTTGAGTTTTGGAAAGCGCAGTGTCCTTCCAAACAGAAATAACTTATTAAATCTGTTGCCACCATAGATTGATGAAAATGCTGAATATTTACCTTAGATGCTTAAAACTTATATTAAGGAAGTTATGTTTTCATTATCTTACTAACACATCTGTGTCAGTTCTTACAAGTCAAAGAGCTACTAGTACCTAGGTTTAGTGGCTTCTTATTAGTCCTCTTGCTCCTTAACCTTACTGTAATATTTAATATTGTTGAATGCACTTCCTCAATTATTTCCTTTTTGTCCTCCAATGAGAAATTTTATTAACTTCTTAATGAACCTATCAGTTAATCTCTCTGACTTCTACTTGTCTCTTTTGTGATTTCCTCTGTCTGCCTATCTTTTAAGGAGTTTTACAGGGCTTTGAACTGGTTCAGAATGGTTTCGTTAATTGCCAAGGTAAACAAAGGCAGTGTGCATGTTGCATAGCAACTAATGTGTTTTCTGCCTGATTTTGACCTGAGTAGGAAACCGCTGTGCTCCACTCGAAAAGATGGCAGCTGACCACACTGCTTTAAATGTATGTCACTCTCTGAAGTCCTGCTAATAATCCAGTCTCCCACCTGGATCCCAAAAGTTTCAGGAGCCTGATGTGAGAGATTGGATTATTGGTAGGACTGTGGAGAGCTGCACACATTCAAAGCGACGTGGCCGGCCACCATTTTTGAGCACGGCACAGCAGTTTCCTACTCGTGTCAAAATCCTAGGGGCAGCACATTTGGTTGCTATGCAATGTGTAGGTTACCCTTGTTTATGTCTGCAATTATTGAACCATATGGGTTGGAAGCCCTGGTTTTGACCCAGGATTCAGCCCTCTCATTTTGGTATACATTTTCTTCCTAGAGGATCTCATCTATTATCTACTCTCATATCTTTATCCATCACTTGAGTGCTGGTGACTCTGAATTTATATCTCCAACTTTGACCTCTCCATAATTCTACAGTTTCACAGTTCCAAGTCATTACTAGATTATTGTCATACAGATACTGAAAACTTGTATGTCCAAAATAAATTTATGATCTTCCTCTCTGCCCCTAAATCTGCATCTGTTCCTGTTCTTAGTTAAGAACATCACCTTTTGGTGAGTCAAACTAAGAAATTAGGGTTCTCATTGATTATTCTCTTCCTCACATCCACATCTACTCCTTCACTAGCTCTTGTCACTTTTACTTCCTAAATATTTAGCAATTTTACTCTTTGCTACCTGTGATCGTTAAGGTTGCGTTAACTTGGCTGGGCCACAATTGTCAGTGGTTTGGCAGTTACGATGTAGTTTGGCAGTCATGGATAATTATGTGATCACTTCCATGATGGGATCTGCTGTGAGTAGCCAATGAGTTGAAAGGAAGTTTCCTTGGCAGTGTGGCCTGCATCCAATATAGTTTGACTTTATGGCAAGGCTCATGGGCTTTAGCTCACTCTGGATCCTGCAGCTGGCTCCTGTTCATCTGACCTCCAGTTCTTGGGACTCGAGCTAGCAGCTTACCTGCAGTCTTGCCTGCTGATCTTGAGATTCGTCGATCTTCATAGCCTGCAACAGCCTTGCTCTCTGGTCTGCTGATCTTGGGTGTGCCAGCCCCTGCGGCTACATGAATCAGGAGAAGGCTCTTTCCTGCCCCATGGACTTGGGATGTTACAGTCTCTAAAAACTGTGTGAGCCATTTCCTTGATATAAATATCTCTCTACACTTTACTGGTTTTGCTTCTCTAGAGAACCCAGCCTATGACAGCGAGGATATGAGGAAATTGGAACCCTTATCCATTGCTGTTGGGAATGCAAAATGGTACAGTTGTGGAAAATAGTGTGGCAGTTCCTCAAAAAACTAAAAATAGAACTACCATATGACCCAGCAGTTCCACTCCTAGGTAGATACCAAGTAGAGACTCAAAAAGAGACTTGTACAGCAATGTTCATTGCAGCACTATTCACAGTAGCCAAAAGGTGGAAGCAACCTAAGTACCCATCAACAGATGAATGGATAAACAAAATGTGGTACATACATACAATGGAATACTACTCAGCCAGTAGGAGAAACGAAGTTTTGATACATGCTACAGTATGGATGGAGCTTGAAGACATTACGCTGAGCAGAATAAGCCAATCACAAAAGGACAAATATTGTATGACCTCACTTATATTAAAAAACAAGAAAAGGCAAATGTATAGAAATCAAAGTTTATTAGTTGTTACCAGGGGCAGAAGGGAGGAAGAAAAAGGGGGTTAATGGTGATGGAAAAATAGCATTGACTAAAGGTAGGATTGTACAGCTGATTATTGTAATTGCTGTCATTAAGTTGTACACCTGTAAAAATTTGAACTGGCACAAGTATGATAGACATATTTACAACAACAACGACGAAGAGTCGCTGCTGAGTCTGGTTATGTACAGCAAAACACCTCATGGGATTTGCTTCCTTGGTTTGGAGGTTTAGGGTCATGGTTTCATGGGACATCCCAGTTAATTGGCCTAATAACGTTTTTAGTGCTTCTGTTCTACCTCCTAGTTTGTTGCGTAGTGCCTGGGTTCTTCAAAGCTTGCAAGTGACCATCCAAGGCACAACAGTTGATCTCTATTAACCTGGAGCAAGAGGAAGAAGGAGAGTCAGGAATAGGAGAAGGATATGGAATACATGGCTAATTGCCTCCATGAACAACTACCTCCTTTGCCATGAGACCAGAACTGGATGGTGCCTGGCTACCATTACTGAACATTTTGATCAATGATTCCATAGAAGAATCCTGATCAAAAGGGGGAAAATGCAGAACAGAATTTTAAATGCCCATGGACTCTAGACTTTCTGGAGTCGTGGAGGGTGGGTAAATCCCTGAAACTATTGCCCTGAGATAGTCTTTAAACCTTAAACCAAAAATATCCCTCGAAGTCATCTTAAAACTGAACAATAGTTTACTAAAAAAGGTCTACCATGAGCATTATGCCATTTTAAGAACTACCTATATGGGATCAAATTGACAACAGCAACTCAAAAAATTAGATAGGAACCTTAGGGGGCAGTGAGCTTATGTTAATGAAGGAAGAACAGCTCAGAAAAGAAGGGTGAGAATGGTTGCACAACTTGAGAAATGTAATCAATGTCACTAAATTGTACATGTAGAAACTGTTGAATTGGCACATGTTTTGCTGTGTATGTTCTCAACAACAACGATAAAATAAATTTTAGGAAAAAGAAAAAGACTGACAGTATCAAATGTTGATAAACATACAAGTCACCTGGAACTGTTAGACATTGGTGGTAGGAGTGTAAAAGAGTACAACCACTTTGCAGAAAGTTATAGCAGTTTCTTAAAAACTAATATCCACCTACCCTATGAGTCTGTAATTCAACTTCTATCTATTTACCCAAGAAAAATAAAAACATACCACAAAAAAGGCTTGTGCAAGAATTTTCAAAGCAGGTTTATTTATAATAGCCAAATGTTCAGCTGTTGGAGAATGGATAAACAGATAGTGATATAGTAATACAATAAGATACCACTCAGCAGCTTAAAAAATTAACAACTTGTATGCTCATCAACATGAATAAGTTTCAAAAATATTATGCTGAGTGAAAGAAGAGTGGAGTATACACCATTCTAAGATGTATACTTAATATATGGTGGAAAAATTCTGAACTTTGGTTGCTCTGACGGGGAGAGGGTTGGATTGACTGGAAAGGACTACAGGGAACTTTCTGTTAGTTATGTTCTGTATCTTGATAGGGGTTTGGGTTGCCAAGGTAGATGCATTTGTCGAAACTGAGTGACTTCTAAAGATTTGCAAATTTGATTTTATGTAAATTTTTCTGTAAGAAAACGAATTATGAACAAATATTAAACTCTAGTTGATATGCATGCTAAAGTG